CCATTTCAAAGGAGAGCCTCCCTTGCAACTTGGGACTATAACAGAGTAGCTCCAGTCTGCCGGGACGGTTTCTTGCTCCCATAGTTTCACTGGTAACTCCTGTAAACCATCTACCAGAACAGGTCCCCAGGGCCTGAAGGGCGCCGGAAATAACTAATTAAATAAATGGTACATTTCTCGATGTGGGATTGGAGATGAGATCACGAACCGTATAGCAAAAGCTCGAGGTGCTTTTGTTAACCTTCTCCACTTGCGGCGCCGGCGCAACATCACTCGCCCTGAAGGATAGAGTGTACAATGCAGCGGTACGTTCGACCCCACTGTACGGTTGTGAAACCTGACCGCTTAAAGCAGTGGACCTGAAGAGGCTATTTAGGTTCGACCACCGGTGCCTTCGCAATTTAGCTCACATCTGGTAGGAACACCTCGTGAGCAACGAGCGTGTTCGACACCTTGTTTACGGCGCTGGAAAAGGAAATGAATCGCTCAGCACCGTCATTTCACGCACCAGGCTCCGATGGCTCGGCCACGTGTTACGCATGCCAGCCCACCGACTTCCGCGACGTGCGTTGTTTGCGCGCCGGGGATGGTGATGGTAGAATTGGAGAGAGGTGGCAAAGCGATGACTTGATCGAGAGGAATGAAGGCCCTCATTTCTGTGCTGGCCTTAGTTGGAGCATCTCGGTTCCCTGGTTGCGGTCCGAAGAGCATGAACACGTTTGGCTGGATACACTTGTTGCTATGGCTAGGAGCTGACCTCAGTGGCGTTCGGGCTGTGAGTTTCTTTGTCCCACCCCATCCCTCCTAGCCTTCCCCTCCAATCAGGATCTCATTATTTAGCATTTTATAATTTTGCACAGTAAATTTTTGTTTTGCTGCATAGTAGCTGGCTGTTAGCTTACCGGAACGATGCTCATCCGTTACTGGTAGTTCATCTGGCTTGCACCTGTTGCATTTTATTTTCTTTTTATTTTAATTATTGTGACTCAGTAGCTGAGGTGTTTCCTACCTCTAGCTAACGTGTATAATGTGTGTAGTACGTGTGGCGTCGTCGCTATGTCAGTCTCACGCTCAATGGCCGAGTGCACAATGCCACAGTTCGTGCTGTCCTACTGTACGGCTGCGAGGCCTGGCCTGTTTGTTTGGAAGATTTGAGACGACGGTCTACATTCGACAACCGCTTCTTGCGTTCGATTACTCGCGTATAGTGACAGCACCATGTGAGCAGCGCGGAAGTTAGCAGCAGAATCATGAGAGTGGACAGTCCTGGTCTCCAGAGCATAGTCATCCAGCACCACTTGCGTTGGCTCGATCACGTACTGCGCCTGCCGGCCATCCGTCTTCCACGTTGCGCATTATTTGCACTTCCTGGACGCGAATGAAAAAAGAGCCGCGGTGGACAACCGATGACCTGGAAAAAGTGTATGAAGATTCTAGCTTCGTGTATAGCGCCAGTTGGATCCACGTGATGCGGATTCATTGCTCCTGGAGGAAATAGCCCGCAATAAGAGTCTTTGGTGTCAATGCTGTTCTACCATATCTTCATCCTGTACTTTTTATTGTTGAACAAAATGCTGAAACCGGCACGTGTGCAACTGGAATTTTTTTTCTAACGTTTTACTTTCTTTCTCTCCATGTTGAACATTATATTCTCCTTCCCCTACTACCATGCTTCGGATGGCATATTTGTCTGTTTACAGACTTTTGGATAAATACATATAAATACTGAGGTATGCTGCGTCATGACTGAACGGATGCCTAATCAGAATCGCACTTGAGTCAGAGTTGCGCACTCTGCTCCATACAGTGCTCTCCCATTAAGATGTCTAGGGCGATCAGGAAGACCAATATCTCAGCGTAATAACCAGATGCCTGCGTTCAGTATTGAGATCGATAATGTCAAAGTCTTGAAGAATCCGAGGAAGACGCCTTAATCATGTATGTTATCTATATGCATACGACCTACGCTTTGCCGTAGTAATGTTGGTTTTCTAATAGGATGTAGTTACTCTCATTTATTAGACTTCCTCAGCCTTAAGCCGCCTCGTATTGTTAAACCTTTAAATCACCACACTTCACTCGTTTCACGGCAACCAGACCACCGAAGTGGACCATCTAGCTCCCCATGAGTAAAATTGAAACATTGAAGCGCATCAACTGACTACCTTTTGTGAATGAATTCGCAGTCCCCGGCCCAAAAGCAAAATTCTATGCTTGTTCGAAAACCGTCCAGTTTCACTATGATTATTCGGTCATCTGTCGGTTCGGTCTAGGGATGTTGATGGAAACCAGCTGTGTTTTTCCTATACCTGCAAGTCAGTCGCGGATCATGGAAATGGAGTTGTGTGATAGTTTTTGCCCCAGCAAATCTCTGTATACAGGGTATGTGATCGATTGACTTTTCCATCTGTTTTTTTCATACCATGGTGTATCGTCTTCGGGCGGGCAATACCCAATCTCTATCCGCTCCATCCGTTACGGTTTCAATGATTGAATTGGCCAAGGTCCCCTTCAATGGGATTCATGGTCCACCTTGAGATTGCTCGTTGAAATTCATTCCCGCAACTTGTACATCAAACTAACCCTCACTTACGGATACCTGTTTGTCTGCTACGATGACTCCTCATGCTTCCGGAATTCCTAATGGTCCTATCACACCAGTGAGGTTAATGGAAGGCTTACCTGTGCTGGCCCCAGCATATTCATGGGTGGGACCCACTGCATCGGTTACTGTGTGCGCTGTGAACTATTTCCAGCCTGTTTCATTCACAAGGGGACAATTACGCACTTTAATTCCGTTTCTCTACTCCAGCTATTGGCCTTTAGCTTCTACTTAGTCTGTTAGTTCACCTTTCCCCTTGAATTTTTGTTTATATCAACGAGATAGAGACTTAACCTGATGCATAGACCTGTGTCCTTCTGTGGCCCAATGCGTTGCACTGGGTGCGGTTTTGGGCTCTTCTGAAGTCACTGCTATCAGATTGGTCACTATTTTGAGATGAAGAAAGTCTATTTCCCTCATTCTGTAGTTGGAGTGTTAGAACACGGTATCGCCGAGTTCTGTAATTATGGTCCATCATGTGAATCTTTACCAGGTTGTCGTTATCTTGTGATTAGTTCTGTGCATCTAGGGTTTTAGTTGAGGAGCTTGATCCTTTTACTTGTCTATGCGTGTCGGTCATGACATTATCCCAAATCACTTACATTTTTGGCTATCCAATCAAACTTCAGATTCTTTCCGTTTCGCTCATCGCACTATTCCAATCCACCCCGTCTGCGTCGTGCAACAGGGCGGATTAGCCAAAGTGGCCTGCTACCAATATCTCTCTTCTTATCCATCTATTCATCTCACACCCGTTTTCTACAATGAGTGTCAACAGCTGAAACCCTTTCGTTTGTATTCAGTTCACTCAATTATCCAATAGTTCCCCTGAGTAACGACGTCTCAAACTTACGCCACAGCTTAACTCTTGGCACGTCAGCGGAAAGTGAGCAGTTCTATATCACCTTTAATAACTAAGTCATCTTGGTCGTTGCTGCTTCTGGTGGCCCGTAAGAGTAGGGTCGAAGCTCTCAGTCCCACAGAGAACAAGTTTATGCTCACAGGTGACCATCCCCGGATGGATGAAACGGCTGTCCAATGTTTTTCCGGACGTGTGCTGATTGTCTGACTGAGTATACTCTAATGGGTTCACCTCATCTTATTTGACTCCCCTAAAGGCATTATCAGTACGCCGGTGTGCTACACGGACGCTTCACTGCCACGCGACCACTCGACCAGTCCTGCGCGCGGATGCTAGGGATGCTGCGACGTCACCCCCATCTACTCAGATTCGAATCACGGTAACCTTTGGGTTACGAGGCAGACGCCTCATCCCCCTTCGGCCAGTGGCCGTTTATTTTAACTACATTCTTTTTCCTTTGATTCAATTGTTCTCTTCCATATCACACTTCACTGGTCCAGAACGTCCTTTTTTGCCATTGTTCATCGTTGGATTCCTGAAATAAGTGAACAGGCTGGTCGTTTGTAATTATGTATTATATATTATGTGAAGATTCGTTGTGCCAAACGTTGCCTGTCGTGACTCGGTGGCTAAAGGGGTATGGGTCCCAACTAAGGTCCCAGGTCCGAGGCTTGCTATCTCCACCCACTGAAATAACACGGTCGGAACGTGTTGTGTGTGCAGGGGGGCGACACCAAATTTCCATTTGGTAGATAAATTCTTTTTTCCTCGGAAGCTGCACCAGTACCAACAGTTTAACGGATGAAGTCTCTTTGCATGTCTTTAAGGCTCGGGTTTCTGTTGGTAATCTCAACCATCTCGCGTCGACGCGACCTGGATCTCTCTCTGAAGGGCCAGGTCTATTATGCTGCGGTAAGAGCGGTCCTGCTTTACGGTTGCGAGACTTGGCTTGTTCCTTCAAATGATACACAGAGGCTATATGTTTCTGATCACCGCTGCATTCGGAACATTGCTAGTGTACGATGACAACATGACATTTGTAATAAGGATGTCCGTCAAAGGATTTTCAGATCAGGCAGGCTTTGCCAGCCGGTGAGATGCATAATTTCACTGCACAGCTTACAGTTTCTTGGGCACTTGCTTCGGATGTTAGCTCAGCGTTTGCCTCAGCATGCCCTCTGTGCGCGCTGAAGGCGAAAGATAAGTGACCAACAAATGATTTGAGTTCAAACTATGAAGGCACTAACGCCAGAGTTGGCGCTGTCCACTCTCATCTTGGGTGCGCGCGGATTGCGAACACGCCTAGCTTTAAACGATCTCTCGGACATGGCAAAATCTCGCACTCAACTTTGGATATGTTATGCGACTCTGATCCCGTGACTTCAGTTGTTGTTGAGATTTTTCTTCCACCCCCTTCCCTTGTTGTTTTTATTCATACGTCACGTTCTATGAATTGTACCATTATCTGAACCATCCGGCCCATGTACACGCGTGTGTGTGCACACTTATTTCTTCTTTTTTTATGCAACCTCTCAGGTCTGCGATTTCGGGATCTCTGGAGATCTGGTAAAATCGTCGGCACCTACGAATGTAGGCACTAATCGGTACTTGGCTCCCGAACGTATTAATCCGAAACCCGATCAAGCATATCGAATTCAATCAGATGTTTGGTCACTTGGCCTCAGTGTGATCGAATTGGCCACAGGAGAGTTGTGTTACAAAGACATGGACAATGTGTTTCAGCAGTTGGAAGCGGTGAGTTCCATGTCACTGCTCTGTGTGTGTGTGTGTGTGCATCGATTAGCGCACAGTTTTCCATGTGGCATTCAGCACCACGTCCGTTTTGTTTGGTGCACTTTGAGTGTCTAAACACTTACAGCAAACATTCTATCTCCAATGCAAATATTTGCAGACGATGCTAAAATGTGGAGAGCAATTCGCTCAGCATCGGACCGTGTCTACCTCCAGGAAGATCTGACCCGGATTAACGAATGGGCAGAAAAGAACCAGCTCCCACTGAACCCTGCAAAGTGCCACCTGCTGACGGTGCACAACAGCTTCGTTAACACATACCTTTTGCGGCAACACGTCATGCAACACGTGACTAGTGAACGCGACCTAGGTATAATCGTGCAAGAGAGCCTTGGAAATTCGCTCCAATGTTCGAAAGCAGCAAGTGTAGCGAACTTGAACTTGAGACTTTTGAGGCGAGCTCTCGGCACTTTTGAGCGACAGCTAGTACCATTGTTGATTAACTCCTACATTCGTCCTCATGTTGAATATGCAATTCAGGCCTGGTGTCCATGGTTAAAACGAGACATCCGCCTATTGGAACAGCCCCAAAGAAGAGTCCCAAAGGCAACGCGTGAACTATCCGGTATAAGTTACGAAATACGTCTTCGAGTACTCGGTGTGTTCTCATTAGAATACCGACGGCTTCGCGGAGATCTTACTCTCACATACCGGATATTAACGGAAAGCGAGCATCCATCCATACAAACAAAACCGAGGCAACCACCTGAAACTAATGACGCAACACTCTCGTTTGCATTGTAGAAAGTATTTTTTATCACTTAGAATCTGTTCTCACTGGAATGCATTACCAAACTATGTGGTGAACGCACCAGACATGACGACATTCGAAAGACACTTAGATTTTTATCTTAGTGATAAATGACACACAACACTTTGTTAAATTGCAATGATTTAACCACTGATGCTTTACGTTCCACATTGAAACATTTTGATTTTAATTTTCTTTTGCATATCCACCCTGTGGGTCTTGTAAAGTTATGCTTTTTATCCCATCATACACCATTGGACCATTGAAGCGTTAATCGCCATCCTTACTACACTCCAAAAATTACCTCTTTTCTACCAATTTACTTATCGACGCCGCTAAGATTTGATCCCGTGGCCTTCCTCTCGTCAAACGAATGCATTGACGACCTCCTGGGTTACCTAGTTCCCTACCATAAATTCGAAATTCATTAAGCACTTTATTGGGTTCAATTTGGACTATCTTTATTGGTGTGAGTGATACTGTAGGCATGGTATATGTTTTTTTTTCATTGATACATCTCATGCACATCTTATCGGTATTCCACGAAGTGACACCTCAATAATAGTGCACTAAATATACGAGAATTGCACTATCTATTGCGATGTGTTGTTTTACAAACGTGTGCTCTACTTTCTACATTTTCTAGCTTCCTCAATTACTTTGAATTTAACCACTGTTATCCCGATCTCTGGCGCTTTTTTTGAGATTCGCGGCAACCGATCTCCACATCTGGAAAACGTTAGATGGCCGTCATCACCAATGGCCTAATGACAAAAGCCTCTGGTTTACAGATCCTCAAACTCCGCCATTTCGGCTCCTGGAGAGTCCTGATTGATCGAAAATTCTTTCAGCATTTTGTTAGACTACATGGATATGTCTAACTAGGAACTGACTCCAAACTTCTCCAAAAGTCAGCCTATGGCCTAAAGGATTACGCGCCTGCCTTGTAATACAAAAGTCACTTGTTCGTATCCGTTTAGGTGCGCTCGACCTCGCGGTACACGTAGCCCATGCGCGGCCGGTGGTGGTCGCGTGGCAGCGAAGCGTCGGCTTATTGTTGATGTCTTATTATCAAAAAATTGTCTAAAAGTTTCTGACTGTCCTTCGGTAGAGTCTTTTATTTGCAGTAAATCAAATTATCGTTTAGTTTGGTCAGCTGTTGTTTTGACTTGCTCACCGAGCTGATCAGTGGAGTAGTTGCAAACGTCTCACCACCGGTCGATATGCCTTACATAGTTCGTTCTGGTAACCATTTACGAATGTTGGGTCTTCAGCAATTTCTGTGGTGAAGCTTTGTCGAATCATTTACTCAGCTCGGTTATCAAGCCAACAGTGTATTCGATGTTTTGCCACTTTTATAGCGCCGGAGTTCGTTCCCCGCACTAACCTAGAATCTCTTCTCATCTATGCTCCTAGGTAGTGCAAAACGATCCACCGCAGCTTCCGGCGAATGATCGTTTCTCGGACGAAATTCGCGAGTTTACTAGCAAATGTCTTGTGAAGGATTTCACAGAACGTGCAAGCTATCTAGATTTACTCAACACTCCATTTCTTACGTCGGTGGACATTGAAGTTGGTCAGAAGAGCTTGAGCTACTTTTTAGCGCCATTTTTGGATTTCTAGTTCTTTATCTTCCACACGCCTTTTGTTCGCTCCTGATAGCTTATCAGTGTTTGTTCAAGGTCTCTTTCAGCGCTTTCCATTCTTTTCCTCGATAACAGACAAACTTGCCCACTCCGCATGCTACTTGACTTCACTATTGATTTTGCCCCACAACTACCTCCTTGTGGGTACTTTATTGCCACCTCTCTATTTCCCTCTCACCACTGCATTATTTTCTCCCCTCTAGTTTGGTGCATTTCCCACACAGATGACATCCAAAATTTTTGATTTCATTTTTGCCGATTAGGGATACTGTCCGTATTGCCCGGTTTTCACGTGAACTTTCTTTCCTTCCTGTCGTTTTTCTTCTCTTGTGCGAATTTGCTCCTACCCACACTACTCCACTGCTCATCAGTTTTAGGCACCACTGAGTTTCTTCCTTTGCTCTCGATCTTCCCTGACTTTCATTTATTATTCAGGTTCAGTTTCGAAATTGCGCCGTTATTTCGATGCAGCTGTTATTACACAGAAACAATGGTCTTTACTTGTACTTGATCCGTTTAGACGTCGATGCATAACTGACTCGCCGTTTACGTGACTCTGACGTCCACATTGAGGCATATTTTTTTCTATCTCCGGTGGAGAATTTTTGTGTATTTATACGTGCATCTGTTATTGAAAATTATTTTGTGATTCTTGAATTATTTTCTTCCTTTCCTTGGAATCGCTGCATTTTTCCCATCGGGACCTACCGATTACCGATGCAGATAAAAATATTGGTCTGGCTACTTGCCACATCAACTTCGCATTGATCTCTGCTTTGGAACACATTCACCCGATGTTCCTTTGTTCGGATGACTAATCAGCTCAAAATCATTCGTGAATTAAATCGAAATCGGGTGCATAGGATATACTCATAACTAAAGCCACAGCGATTGCTCGGGATTGATAAAGCACCCGCGTTGTCGCAAAATGTTCCCCTGTCTAACGTCACCTCTATGACATCCTTTTCCTTCATTTGTTTAGCATTTCTAGGACTATATCTATTGTTAGCCAAATTATTATAAATTTGTGATATTCAACAAACTCTTTTCACTTTTTTTTATAAAAATCAAATGATTTAACTGGGGACATTATATTTTCCAAGAAAAACATCGCTTATAAAATTCATCAGGGTGAGTATGTGGTAAGTGATCTTTTGGCAACTTTCAGGGTTAACACGCAAAGACACAGAGTAAATGAGTTTTTTTGCTATGTTCAATCATGCTTTCACTGCGTGCCAAGGTCGTTACAATTTCTTCATTGAGCTGCTGCTTATCTGTAATAATTTGTTTCTTCATCTCTGACTTTAGAATTGCCCGTAAATTCTCTGTTGGGTCTATTACCGGGCCATGGTATCATTTCAATACTACAACCCTCAGGAAAACGGGTAGCTTCACACCACTTGTGAAATGGAGCACTGTCATGCATGAGAATGAAGTCTCCTGTCCCTGTAAATCCTTTTTCCTTTGCGCATTCACACAGCTGAGGGCTCAGTTTGGGGCTTTAGTAGTGTTTGGTACTGCTGCTGGTTCATGTTACCATGGACGATCTGGAGCCGACCGGTTTCGTAGATGCTCATAACACTCCATCTCATGACCTGAGTGGGTTGCTTGACTCGTTGAGCGATACACTCTCCCCTCATCTGTTCTCCAGATAATTGCCGGACCCATAGCGATTGCTGGTCAGAGCATCGCATGGTACACTCATTGATGAAAACCACCTAAAACCCACAGAAAATCTGTTAGAAATACCCGAGCAATGTAGGCTGTTTTTCTCTCAAAAATCCTTATGAAAATAAAGCTTTACTTCTTACCCGCTCTCAGTCTTCTTTTGATCATTTTTCAAGCTGTTTTGCCCATTCCTGTCCTTTTATTTCATTTGTTTTGTCAACTTTTGCTTCCGCAGAGGTCTGCAACCTCGAAGTCCAAATTCCGTCTTCTTTTTACAGCACCATGCTGTTCTAACATCCCTTGTAGCTGTCTGCTTGATGCTTTGTGATTCTTTCGGCATTCCCTAAAATGTAACGTGTCGTCTCGAGTTGTTGTTGTTGCTCTTCTGCGACAACATTTACCGTAACATTTTGGAGACAGGTATAAGCATCAGCAACGCTTAGCATAATTGAACGACGCGTAGAACACCGATCCGCGGTCTCCAGTTTTGATTCAATGAACCTCGAAACCCGAAACTGGCACACAACCACCAGCTAAACAAAAGCCACAGTCGATGTTGAGCTATGGTGCTATGTTACAACAATGGAATATCATAATTACAACATACTTCAACGATACCCTCAACAAAATAGGTACGCACGAATACCAGTCACGGCAATAGACAACAATTTGCTCGTTCAAGCACTATGTAAAGCGAATCAACATGCAGCGGGGCATAGTGGTATCACCACCGGACGAATCAGGACACAGGCAGTCATGAGTCCAAACATACAAAGCTGAAGTCGGGCTGTCGAGGAACAGCCTTAGAGCCGCGATGTACCCGCATGGTTGAACATGCAAAATCAAGACATGCTCTGTCCTAGAACCAGGACAGGCGCTGGTGAAGAATGACAGCGAGTCAGACGACGGCGAACAGGGCGAGCGAGCTCGATACAGAAACTGAACACTAACGGATACACAATGAGCAGAATAGGTCAATAGAGCATGAATCCAACAAAGAGGGAACTGCAAAATTGCGGTTGAGTGGCTTTGATTGGACTTCGGGCCAAGAAGCGAGATAAATAGGGAAGGGCACAAAGGTAACGTGGGAGGCCGTCAAAGTTCTCCAATGTAATTGTAAGTTCAACATAGAGGTGCGGGGGGGGGGGGGAATCCGGGCAGTAACTTCAGACTTTAGACCATGCGATTGGAGTTGAACAATTCTAGGTTACAACAGGGGTAAATTCTTTCGCATTTGGCATACAGGCGCTGGACTAACACCAATCTTGGTGGCAATTTCTGACCCTGTCACATCTTTCAACAAATATGCTTATATAATCTAGAAAGTGTCGATCAATACGGTTGTGTCGTTACTTGAGAAGATACCTTAAAAAATAAAAGTAATTAAACATAATTATGTATCGATCCAAAACCAGACAACTGTAATGTTGAAATGGGGAATACAGTGGGAAATAACAAATTAAGTTAAAAATGTAACTGTCTATTCACAAAACTACTGGACATGTAACATCAACCAATTTGTCATCATTTGCGAAACTCATTCACTCCGTGCCTTTGCGTGTTAACTAAAAATTGTCAAAGGATCATTTACAAAATACTAATCTTGATGAATTTCTAACCGGTATCTACTTTTCTAGTCAAATGAAATCAGTTTACGGGTTATTCATTCGATTCTTACGAGCAATGGGAAGAAATCTGAAAGAAGTTTGCTGAATTCAATAAATTTATCAAAATTTGGTCAACATTATTGAGAATACTTGTAGCTCGGGTTGTGCATGAGAGCGCTGATGTGTTTTCCTAGCTGGACAATTTTGTTGCCGACGTTTCGTCTCCAAGCTACGCAACGTCTTCAGTGCGACTATCAGGGTCTGATTCGCAGTCTCCTAAGCCATTGACTTGATCGTCTTCTGCCTTGAATGTCAGTCTTCGATTGGCTCTCGTGAGTTGGCCAAGCAGTCACCTCTTCGCCCTGTCGCCTTGATACTTAGTGCTGACCTCACCTGCAGAGATACGTAAACCCATTCTGGTCCCAGGTGCCTGTTGATTGAGTTCCAACCCGAATGCCAAGTCTCGATGAATTCACATGCTCTGCGGTTCTTTGCTCTTTCATCCAAATGTACTGACATCAGCGATTTTTCATCATGGCGGCATAAGGCCAGACTGTGTTCATGCACTCTTGTACCAAGTTTCCTCTCTGTTTGGCCCACATGTACTACTTTGGCCGAGTAGGGGCAGTTCGCCTCCAAGGCCCATGCAGGATTAATAGACATCGCTCTGTTTGTAGTTTCTGATTACGCGCCAACCGATTGTAGCTCTGAATTGAACAGGGGCATATTTTACCACCAACTTCATCAGCATTCATGATGCTTCTTCACGGCAGTTGGGCTAAACCAACTTACACTAAAACTTGCTCTTTTTAAGCTGGATAAATTTCATTCCACTTCATTTGGTTTGTTCTGCCTACCTGAAAAATCTTCTATCAACTTGCACTCGTTGCTAACGCTTACTGTGGTTATCTTCGTTAACTTTTTCACGTCCGTTGCATTTTTGGAATAACTTCCGGACACTTTGCACTTATCGTGAATTCGCTGCAAACCAACTTACTTCATAGGTCAATTTAGCGAAGAGTTATGTCGGCATAACCATATGCTTTAACAGATATATTTTATTTGATAATCTCATTTCAAGTGATTGGCAGTTGTTTGATATCCCCGGTGTGGCTGCGCTTGATGTGCATGTTGACAAGGTGCCTACCTGTCTATTAGCCACTACCTCGTCCATACTGGCTTCAGGAGACAGTTGGTCGTTGCTGGAGGGGACGGGGTGCACGGTCCTTGTGGTCGTGTTAGAATCAAAGGCTGGTTCCATGCACTCAGTGTGGAGCGGACTACGGTCCAGCCACCACCTTGTGTGCCATTGATTCATAAATACAGTGTGGTTTTGTTTGCCTGTGAAACGTGGCTCCCATCCACATGCCTCCCGGTCTTATTCCTTTGGGTTTACACTGGATATGGGGTGTGTGGTTGGTGCTGTGGGTGGTGCAGCGCAAGCCACCCATGGTCCCTCTGTAGGCACAGGCGTCCTGTGGCTGGCCACAGTGACAGGCAAATCCGAAACCGGATGCCACGAACCATATAAATCCCCTACTGAAGTTGCAGTTGCATACACCATGCTTCTTCACTACATTTGACCTACACCGACTTGCACTGAAGCAGTTATTAATCTGGGTAAAATGTATTCCACTTTATTCGGTTTGCTCAGTTCTGCTGCAGTTTTCCGTGCCAATTTTCCTTCATATTTTTGTTGGTGATTTGATATCCCCGGTTTGGCTGTGCTTGCTGTGCGTGTTGACAATGTGCATACCCGTCTAACCTTCCACTTTGATTACTGGCTGCCCCCCGCAACGATTCACATTTTCCCGGAGCCGTTAATCGGGCTGGGGGTCTTAAACAGGTAGCCACCTTGTCAATATTCACATCAAGCTCATTCACACTGGAGATATCAAGCAACGGCCAACTCCTGAAATGCAAGAAACTGAACACGCGTGCACCCGCACAGACCAACTGCAGCGAAGATGTAGCACATGTTCCACAGCAACCGCATTGTTGGTCTGGGTTAGTAAGTCGAACCGGAAGCAATGTACTTACCAAGCGCTGCGCTTATGTCGGTTACATAGCTTAGTCATCTCCTCTTAGATGTTATCGCCGCATAGCCACGCTGATGGTATATGAGGCCGACTTGGCTGAGGCACTCGCGACCGCAAGTGCTACAGCACCATCCGCTTGACATCGATGGACTATTCTCCATCGGCGCCTGTCGTTTTTTCAACCAACGTTTCTTTTCCGCATGCAGTAGTGATTTCTCATGTACCTGGACAATCGTCTTCTTGATAAGCTGTCGCCATCGGCACCGATCCACTGCCATCACTTACCAACACCTGAAATCAACATCACCTCGGGATAAACTCATCTTAATCATGTTCTGATAGCGTAATCCCGGTTTTTTACGTGCTGCTTCCCTGCATTAAGTTGGCCCTACAAGAGCTGTTTGGGTATCCTCGTCGAATTCATTCGGCTGATATGCCCCAGCCACCTCAGATGTCGCAGCAGAAGTATGCAGTTCACTGCATACATACCGCTGCAGTGCAGCACTGTCGCACCAACCGATGTACAGAATCCGTCACAGACCCCATCGTTGAAATCGCTCCAGACACATGATGTCCTCCCGGCACATCGTCCACGTTTCGCTGCTGTATAGAAGAATGGACAATACCATCGACTTGTGTACCATCAGCTTCATCTTAACGGTAGGCAGGTGATCGTTCCACACACGCTTTTCCAGCTTTCCAAATGCGCAGCCGCCTTCGATACGCGC